AGAGGATGGCTCAGATTTTGTGTGAACGATGTGAAATTAGGATAACTGTTGTTGCTGATGTTATTGTTTAGCAAGTTTGTTGTCAGAGAGGAATTAATGTTGTTGTTGTTGTTGTTGTTGATGTAAATATTCGTGTTGATTAGGCTACTTAGATTGTTGTTGATACTGTTGTTTAGCGTGTCGACGTTGTTGTTGTTGTTGTTGTCAAAGGATGAGTTGTTTGTGTTGTTGGACTGCATTATACTGATGTCAAGTCCAGCGTTCAGTGCTTTCTGTAGTTCGTTTTGTTGCTCTAGCGTTAGCTCGCCTACTTGTTGAAACTCGAAAGCGTTTGTATTTTTGCAGTTGTTAGCTTGATCTTGAATGAGGCTGCTGTTTTGTGCTAGTGAGGATGGTTGTTGGTGGATCGTGAATTGGTTGCCGATTGATCTGGAGTCCACCAATATTTGGTTGCTGCCTAGGTTCATCGTTTGTTGGAGTTCGAGGGGTGCTGTGAGGACGTTGTTCGTATTGCTGTTGTTGTTGTTGTTCAATAAGTTGTAATTCAGTGTGTTCTGTAAGTCGGAACTGGAAGAGATATCCATGGACGTGTGGATCTCAACACCGTTGCCAAAATCTGAAAATGTTAGACCGAGGTTTGCGAGCGCACTCTGCAGATCAATTCCTGTTGACGGCGCCAGAAAATCCGACCCGATAGCAAAATTACCGATCGCTAATTGTCCCAACTCGCTACTCGTCAGGCACCCGCCAAGACTTGCCATCGCTTTTTGAATTTCCAAACCGGCACCGGAGTCCTGGCAGTAATTACCGACCAGCTGAATGACATTACCCGATACCCCGTCATCCGACTCGATATTCAGTACACACGTCTCGGTATTCATAACATCGCCGTTCGCATTTTCTGAAACAAGACCTCCATGCAACTCGGATTGCATGTTATCAAGATCACCGTGGCATATGACCAGAGAGTTCAAAGTTTCGGTTTCCATTTCTAACCTTCTGCCAGGGCATTGCTTCAGTACCAACTCCAAGTCGTCATCGTTCCTCGCCAGGTTGACCTCTGACCTGTCCTGAATGACCCCCATGTTCTGGTGGGAGGAGGATGATGAAGATGAGGATGGAGATGATGAGGAGGAGGATGAAGGGCCGATGATGATCTCCTCTACCTCGCATGGGCTGATGGCTGGCGAGTCTGCGTAGCATTCATTTTCCATGCTAATGATGTTGCTGCTGCTGTTGTTCTTGTTGTTGTTTTGTTTTTTTGTTGTCGATCTTGCTGTTGTTGTTTGGTTTATCGATGTTGTTGTTCGTTTTGTTGATGTTGTCGTTCGTTTTGTTGATGTTGTTGTTGTTGATGTTGTTGTTGTTTGTTCACGCTGCCAACGAAACTAGACGCCAGATTTTGCCATTTTACGTACATGTGTTTCCAGATATTTATCTTTTTTGACATGCGCTGTTTGTGTGCACTCGCGTGTTGGTGCGTTTTTGTTGTTGCTGTTGTTGTTGCTGCTGTGCTGTTTTTGTTGTTTTTGTTGCTGTTGTTGTTGTTTTGTTGTTAATGTTGTCTTGTGATTACAAAACTTAGAAGTTATTTCACAGCCTTAAACAAGTTTATTTGAAGACTTAAACATGATGGAAGAGAATTTGTGTGTGTGTGTGTTTGTTTGTCTGTATGTGTGTACTTTTGTGTGTGTGTGTTTGTATGTGAGTGTGTGTGTGTGTGTTTAACATAAATTTTTTGATTCTCATATCTTTAGTCAATCAAAATTCAAGTGCATTTATATAAAAAAAATTTGAAAGCTATTTGCGAACTGGAAAAAACTTCCTTTTATTAAAAAATAAATAATATAAATTAAGTTGAGGGTAGATTTTTTTTATGCTGGTTATAAAGTTAATAAAAATTCTTATTTAAAAGTAGAAAATTTCATTTAAAATCTTCATAACTTTATTACTCTCAGACCAAAAAAACATCTGGCCTGGTTAATATGCTGCTTTTTAATATCACGCATTTCTTGAAAGAGTATCAATAAATAAATAAATTAACAAATTAATAAATAAAATATTAATTAATTAATCAGTTAACTATATAACTAATTAATTAATTAATTAATTAATTAATTAGCCGAAAATGTTTGTACTGAAACTGTGATCAAATGGATGGTCTGGATTTATTATTCTCTCGCAATTTCAATTGGTGGTCATGTTTTTGTCTTGAGATTGCACGATTATCACAAAATATGAGAGAGAAAGAGAGATAAAGAGAGATAAAGAACAATACAAAAAGAGAGAGAGAGAGAAAGAAAGAGAGAGAGAGAAAGAAAGAGAGAGAGAGAAAGAAAATTGCTTTCTCTTATGTAGATAAGTACAGCGGATGTGATTTTTTTTACGTTGGGAATTTTACGTCTCCTTTGAAACAAAAACTCACTCTCGCTTTCGAAATGGTTTGTATGTTTGTTTGTATGTATGTACATACGTAAGTATGTATGTATTTATGTATGTATTTATGTATGTATGTATGTATGTATGTATGTATGTATGTATGTATGTATGTATGTATGTATGTATGTATGTATGTATGTATGTATGTATGTATGTATGTATGTATATGTATGTATATGTATGTATGTATCTATGTATGTATGTATGTATGTGTATATACAAGTGTACTCTGAGTCTTCTCAGATCTAATGAATGACACGACGATGTGATGCAGTTTCGTAGGCTTTGGGTGACTTCATTGCGATCGAATTTACTTTTAAATAGATATTTTGGAATTGTATGTGAAGGGATGGTTAATTAGTTTGAAAATTGGGTTAAATTTGTGGGTTTGTTTCGGTATAAAGTGGAAAGTTTAAAAAAAAATAATTTACTACAAGATTAATATCAGTAGTTATAAATTAGAATCATTGTTTGTGGTAGTAGTAGTGTAGTAGTAGTATTAGTAATAGTAGTCGTAGTAGTAGTAGTAGTTGTAGTAGTAGTTGTTGTTGTTGCTTTTTGTTGTTGAAGATGGTGATGCTGATGGTCACAATGGGGAAATATATTCTACGTTCATTAGTCTTTTTATTATTCTTTCATTCTTCAGGAGTTTGTATGCATGTTGGCATGTTTGTTTGTATGTATGTATGAAAATATGTACACAGAGATTGTTGAAATTGAGATTATTGTTGTGTAACTCCAAAATAAACATACAATGAAATACATTAAAGTGTACACTTTATCACTTATATACAAACGTATTTCAATAATTTCGCATCCAATTGTTATACTTCTATATACTTTACATACATAAATAAATATGTACATGTATCCATGTCTCGTTGTATCAAGTTTGTATATAATTGTTGTATATACTGTCGCATAATACAATCCTATGTATATATGTTTGTATGTACGAACGTTTGTATGTACGTTCGTTTGTATGTACGTATGTACGTATGTATGTATGTATGTATGTTTGTATGTATGTATGTATGTATGTTTATCCGGTCAACAAACGAGTTGTAATGTTTCCAAATCCGATGTCAACCAATCGGCAACAACAGCAACCGTCCCAGCAGCAAGCAGCACAAATTCATTCGAACGAATTTCTCACTAATCTCAATAGTCGGCGGCCAACTAGAACATCACCAGGCGACAGTTCGCTACATTATTAACTATAACTTAATCGAATTTCGTTAAAAGTTAATTTAAATTGAATTAATTCCACAACGTATTCTCGACAGCAACAGCAATCTCAACATACAACAATTTATATTTCAACTCGTGAACGTATATGCCTGTCTGCTCAATCATCAAGCAACTGCATCGCCTATGCTTATGCTTTCCTATGCTTAGCACACATCTGCATACATACATACATACAAACATACGTACATACATACATACAAACAAACATACATACATACAAACATATATATATATACATACATACGAACATACATACATTCACCGCAGCTTATTCATGTATGTGTAGTAACGGATGCAGCGCAGATATAAACTTATAAACCTAAATTGTATGTATGTATGCATGTATGCATGTATGTATGCTTGTTTGTATGTGTTGTATGTTTGTATGTGCATATAAAAAGAATACACACTCAAACACATTAAATCAAACTGCCCCGTTATAATTATTAACATCAGAATTGTTATCTTTAATTCATTTTCCATCATCATAATCATTACCACCACCATCATCGTCATCATCATCATCATCGTCATCATCATCTTCTTCCTCTTCCTCTTCCTCCTCATCATTTGCCGCAGCAACGCGCCAAACAAAGAAGCTCGCCAGCCTGGAAAGCATTGTAGAGATATGGGAAAAATGTGAGGGTTATATGAGCATATACATTGCAAAGAAAATGTATGGCATACTAATTGTATGTATGCATTCATATATATATATATATATATACATATATATACATATATATATGTATATATATATATATATGCATGTATATATATATATATATATGTATGTATGTATGTGTGTGTACGTATGAGTGAGAAAATGATTGTTTGTGAGAAAGAGAAAGAGAGAGAGAGAGAGAGAGATAGATAAGAGAGCTATTTATGATTTTCATGAATATTTCAAGATATGATGATGCCTTGAATAGAATTAGACTGAAGAGTGAATGGATGAATGAATGAATGAATGAGTGAGTGAATTAATGAATGAGTGAGTGAATGAATGAATGAGTGAGTGAATGAATGAACGAACGTCTGAATGAATAAATGAGTGGATGAAAGAATTTATGAATGTGACGATCGATTAACCGATGAAATGGCTATACAGAGTTACATCGTTAATTAATAAATGATTTATTGCGATTGTAAACATCGAAATATGATGAAGAACACACGACAACCCCCCCCCACACACACACACACATACACACACAAACAAACAAATATACATTTATATATACACACACACCAACACACACACACATAAACCAATTTAGAATCTGCGCATGCAATACTTAAAGTAGAACGCCGTTGTCTTCTGAGATAAAACTTATTTGTTTCTATGTATGTATGTATGTGTGTGTATGTATGTATATGTGTGTATGTATGTGTGTGTGTTTGTGTGTGTGTGTGTGTATGTCTGTGTGTGAGTGTACGTAATTGTACAAACGTTTGTAAACATGTAATTTAGATGGAGGTGATACTCAAAGGCATTCCAACATGCACAAACATCAATCCTTCTAAATAATCTAACGTGATATCCTTCTAAATATGATTCTCATGTAGTTTTAGTATCGGTGTCAAAATTTGTGGGGCGCCTCTTTTTCGAAGAACTCAGGAGCACATTTTCATCTTCTCGCTTCATCTGCAATTAATAAATTTAAAAAATTGAAAAATTAGTTGATAAAATTTGAAAAGATTAAAATAAAAATGAGACACCCAATATAAAGATGACATGATGAGAACGAGAAATAAATAGAGATGGAGGAAGATAGAAAGAGAGAGAGTGAGAGAGAGAACGAAAAATAAATAAAGATGGAGGAAGATAGAGAGAGAGAGATAGAGAGAAGGAGAGAGAGAGAGAGAGAGAGATACACGCACGCAGCACATAAACACACGCACACACATACAGAACATTCCCAAAATGGCGACCATCATGGTGTTGCTTGGGGATCTCCAGAGACGTATGTTTGAGCAGCACATCCCGAAACCGAACGAAGAAGTAGTGGAGGAAGTCTTCACCCTACAGAAATCTCTCTACGAAATGAAAAATAAATTAAGCGCTTCATTAGCTAGGTTTGTGTGACGTCAATTTAGTTGTGGTCGTGTTAGGTCATTAGTGACGATTGTATTAGGACCATTTAATGGTTTCGTTACGTAATTTTTTATGGTATCTTGTTGGCCGTATAGTGTCTGACTGGATGGTAATACGGCGTCATATGGTGTTTGTTGGTCTTAACGCCTCATTTTATGGTGGATTGTGGTGTTTTTTGGTGTTACTTGTGTATTAATGTATTAATAGTGCCTAGATGTCCTCATCTCATTGTTATAACAAAATTTTTTATCGTCAGGATAATCATCACCATCACGATGACCATCATCATGATCATGATCATCATTATCATCATCATACCATCATCATGATCATCATTATGATGACCATCATCATCATCACCATTATCATCATCACCATCATCACAAGATGTCGCATATCACGTGGTATATCATCTTTCAACCATCTGCTCCCTCCCGAAGTGAGACAGAATGATGACCTAGCCTCCAAAATGCTGATATGCTGCTGGGTCAACCAGAACAAGATCAGGTTATGATTGTGATGACAACGATGACGACGAAGATGATGATTATGATGATGACGATGATGATGATGCTGGTTATGATAGTAGTAGTGAAGTTTCTGTGCTACGGCTTCTGCTGCTGTTTTTGATGAAAATGTGAATGGTGATTGAACTGCCTGCATTAACCATAAAATACATTCGAAAAAATGACTTGAATACCAGGCAATACGACTACTACAACTACTGCTACTACTGCTGCTGCTACTACTACTACTACTACTACTGCTGCTACTACTATTACTACTGCTACTACTACTTCTACTACTACTATTACTAATAATAATTATAATTGTAATAATAATAATAGTTTAAATAATGATAATTTTATTTGTAAATATAAAAAATTCATGTCGAGATATTTCATCAGCTCTAGCGAACGCTATTCTATTATCACTACACGATGCAAGATAAAACGCTTCGGAAAATTATGTGTGATCAGTTAATTATTTTACAATTAATAATAATAATAATAATAATAACATCAACAACACAATAAAGATTGACCTTTAACCTTTAACAAAGCCTTCAGAAGTTATTCGACACCCTGGCCGAACTGAATTTCAGAGAGGTCAAGGAGCTGACGGAACTGACATCAGAGGGTACGTACCTAAGAGATCGCCATTGCTATGACGTCATCTATTTTTCTAGCGCTATGTGGAATTCTTTCGAGGAGTTCGGTCCCGTCAAGAAACATCAACTTATCATGCAGGTGACGAAGATGACGACGACGATTGTGATGATGATGATAATAATAATAATAATAATGGGAACAATCTTTTATTCATCAATAAAATCAATAAAAATGACAATACAAATTAAGTAAAATGAAATGAAAAGTCAATGAAATAATTAGTGTTTTATCAAATCTGCGAAGCTCATCATTCAAATCGAGTGAGTACAGCCTGAGTTAATTAGTTTCAAAATTGGTTCATTTCAAATTTCTATCACAATAGATAGCGTACGACGATGATACAGCAGACTTAATAAGGTCGTTGCAAAAGTTATCAGACCAAACAATGTTTATATGAGATAAATTAAATTGCTTGAATAAACCCAATGTAGAAATTTCGAATGTATTTATTTTTATTTTCAAATGTTTGCAATCGTCAATTAAGTTATTTTTCAAATTATTAGAGTATTTAGATAGTTTATATTCTTTTGAGCTGAGGAAGTTGGTTTCGTGGGTTAGTCACTATTAATAATAATAATAATAATAATAATAATAATAATAATAATAGTGACTATAATGATGATGATGGTAATAGTAATGATATCTAAAACTAGGACAAATCCAGTTCAGTGGCCGTACACTCGACCTTGAACCTTCTCGACCCGACCATCGATGACGTCATGCAGATTGGGGTCAAATCAGGTCACGTGGTTTGCTTTTTCAAAATGATAATTAGATCATCACAACCATCACCACCACGGCCACCGTCACGTGGCAGTCGTCACCACATCAGCGTCATCTTTCTCCTTATCATCGGCATCGTCTACAATGTATAAATCAAAATTTATGGTTTCAACATTAACCTCACCTAAGTACTCATTATCTACCTAATATAATTATTATAACTGTAATTATAATAATTATTAATGTAATTATTATTATTTCATAATTATTTTCAAATTTGTTATTAAGGACTGGTGGCGATTCACTTGGCCAGTCTGACGAAACCAAGCAGCACTAAGATCTACGCAGTTGGCTCCATCAGCAGCAAGCAAGCCAAACAAATCAACAACCTCATCACCAAATTAGGAGCTAGGAGTTAGTTAGGATGATGACGACGACAACAACAACAACAATAATAATAATAATTGTAATATTTCTACTGACCAATCAGATCGCGTAGAGCTGATTACGTCATCACTAACCAGAGGTAGTGTAGTTGACGAGAGGCTGAAAGAGTTGAAAGTGGCGATTGTTTGCGCGGAATGCAGCAGGTCTGGGGTTATTAATCCAGCCTCTTTTCTCGTCTGCGAAAAAGAAGGTGACTTGGTTGAAGTGATTTTATTGGCTGGTGGGTTTGGATGAACTTGGATAAAATGATTTGATTGGTTGATTCGTTTAGATGGGGTAAACTTGATTGGTCGTTGTTGTTGGGTGTATTTATAATGGTCACCATTTTCGCCATTGCATCGTCCTCATTAGCATAACAACATCATCAACATCTGGAAGATATCAGATTGCTGAAGGACATGACACTGTTGAGCAGATCAAACGAACAACTCAGTCAGCTGTACATACAACAAGTCACCTACCTCAAATACGTTATGCTACGTTAGTCCAGTTGCTGATGATGTTCTTGGGGGTCTTGATTTAAGTGATTACGCTGTTGAGGATAGTAAATTCAGATCTGACCTAATTAATTGACCTACCCTAACTAATCCTAATCCAAACCAATCACAGATTATTAACCAACCAATCACAATCAAGTACCCCAGATACAAAGTCTTGTTTACTTGACGAGAAGCGTTTTTGAAGATGAGAACGAAAGGGCGGTAACTACGGCCATTGACGAATCAGCGCTCTTGCAGCCGAGGGCCAACCCATTTAAGGCGATTCTCATTGGCTGGCTATTTTTAGATATATTAACATTAATGTTGTTGTTATTTTTAGGTTAGTCCTCCAAGTTTGTCCGGTCTGGACGAGCGTGAAATCGAATCCGGGTCCCCAATGTGTGGCAAGTTTCTCAAGTTCAAGCCCTCACTATTTAATAGTGGATTCTTTGTTGCTGTGCTATCCAGAGAGGTAAAAATGACAATGATGATGATGAAGATGATGATGAAGATGATGATGACGATGATGATGACGATGATGATGACGATGATGATGACGATGATG